AGCTCATGTGAAGTAAGTTTGGATTAGCATAAGAGAATACCTGATTTGAAGCAAGCTGTATGAAGCAAGTTGTAAGATGTAAGATGCAGTGTAATTTGCATGTAAACTGGTTTTGTGAATGTAGGAAACTGTTTGCATGAAGGTGGCTATGTATTCATCGTTCATCAGTAAAAAACAAGAAATATGCAAAATCGAGACAAAGAAACTGGAAATGACAAATATAGCCAACCTTAGAAAGAAACTGGTCCACAAAATAAGCATCAGAATGGCTAAAACAGTAAAAAATAGATGGTAGTGGGAGACAAGTGATTTAACCCCTATGACACATGATTGAACTCTTTGGTCAAAATTGAAGAATAAAGTATATCTCATGTTTATCACATATGCATATATAATATATATATATATAAATGTATATATTATCACTTATCACTTAATAAATATACATAATTATATATGAAATATAAATATAAGTATATACATCCTTAATTTAGAATAATAATGAATTGCAAACTACAAACTACATGAAGGCAATTGATGAATCTTTTTTTTAGATTTCAATTCAGTAATTTGGAAATATATTTTGACTTACATACATTTATATATATATAAATTTATCTAGTGCTTCTCTAAATCTATGAACTCCAATTATTATATCCAGCATAATTCTGAATATTTTTTAATGGTTATTACCTTTATCAATTTATCAATTTTTTAAAATAAATATATACATCCTTATCCTTATATTAGAAACCCGATGAATGCAATTAGTGATTGTTTGAATAAATATACATCATTATCCTTATATAGCAAATTACTTAAACACAATTGATGGTTTTTTATATTAGAAACCTGAATACATTTTACTTAAACATTTGATAATATAAACACATTTGATAATATTAAACACATTTGATAATATTAAACACGATTTAATACTTTATCTAAACATTTGATTTAATTTAAACACATTAAACATTTTATTTAATTTGTCGGATGAAGTTCAATTCGTGGTTTTTTGTAATTAAATATTTTGATTAAATTCTTGATTTTTTTTGGACATTTTAGAAATTAAGTAATTTGATTAAATTACTAAAATTTCTTCCACATCTACACAATTGTGAAGTAGAACACAAAATTTTTTCCATGTTTTAGATTCTAAACATTGATTATGATTTAAGTGAAGTTATTTTAAACGTTATAACACATGATCAAAGCGGTTGGTCAAAATTTACAAATAAAGTATATCTTATGTTTTCTCACAAACGTATATATTTTGATTAAATTCTTGAAATTTTTTGGGCATTTTAGAAATTAAGATTAAATTGCTGAAATTTTTTCCACATCCACACAATTGTGGAGCAGAACAGAAAATTTTTTCCATGTTTTAGATTCTAAACATTGATTATCATTTATAAGTGAAGTTAATTATTTAATTTGAAGAGAAAAAGCCCTTTTCCTTCTCCATCCACACAGCTGTGAAGTACAACAGAAGGTATGAAAGCCAGCCGCACAGGCAGCAGTCGGATGTTCAAATGACTGCAAAAGCTCAAGCGGCAGTGGGACCAGTCAATGTACAAACCACCAGGACAAAGTACAACACGATGAAGCAGGCGCATTCAGCCCAGCAAGAGTCGGACCAACAACCTACAAACCAGCAACACTAACATCAAGTGCTTGGTTCCAATTTACCAGGAGCGGTCCCACCACTCAACGTACAAATCAGCAGCCCAACGTACAACACCTTAAAGCAAGCGAATGCACTCGAAATCCACCAACAGTAGAAGTAAAAGTGCTTCTTATATATAGTACTAGGTTGTTTTTCCCGCGCAAGGCGCGGGTGGTGCCTGGGGCTTAGTTTGGTTAAATGTAATTTTTGTAATGGTATAATAGGCTAACTTTCCAGAATGGTATCAGTCGTGGGAGTATTAGTGAAGCTGTTAATGTTATAATGTTAAAACCTGTTCTTCAAAGTGCCATTCTTGAGATTGATTGCAGAGAGCTGTCAAAAGAGGTAGGTATATACATAGAGTGGTCTTGTAGATGCAGAGCGTACTATACATGCATCATGATCTCAAAAGGAAAAGCAAAAGCATACTATACATGCATCTCAAAAGTATCGTTCATTGTCGCAGAAGCAAAAGTTGTTGTAAGAAGTTTATTGATATCATTCATCATTTCCTGGTCTTGTAGTGCGCTGTTTTTTTCGGTGGACTTTCTGTTATTTTGAGTGAAGTCAACAACCAGTCTTCAACTTTAGTTTTTGCCGATCCTTCTGCTTGACTGCTTGGGGTGCTGGAAGTTGTTGCAGTGTCTTGTTCATTTTCAGTGTCCATTGGTTCGTCCTCCTGTTGTGTATTTGCTGCTCCTGTTAGTCTGTGTCCTTTGTTAGCTTGCTGGATCTTGTGAGCAACTATAGCTGTGTATTTTTGAGTTGCAGAAGGTTCATAGCTATAGGGCGCCTTTTTTATGAAGCAGATAATAGTGTTTTGGCTGATGCATTCTTCTATAGCTCTATAAGGAATGTTATTCTGCAATTTGATAATGTATCTTGTTTAAATTGTTGATTGTGGAATTATGATGTAAATTTCATTTGTAACAGAAGCTAATAGTTATGGCGATTACCTCTGCTTCCTGTTGTTGAATTTCTGAAATTTTGTAAGGTAACAGCTGCTGAGCGTCTTTTCCATATAGATCAAGCGTAATGTTACCGCTCCAATTGGCAAAATCAACAGTTATCCTTGGTCTAATGGACATAAGAGTAATTCAATCAAATAAATAATAAATTGTTAATTAATTGATAAATGTTATGTGCATTACCTTGCGACAACGTGGATACGACGCTGACAGGAGAGACATGTAATTCTGTATTCAGGGCTGCTGCGAATAGATTTGTGGCAAAAAGGGCAAGCATAATACCAGAGTTTTTGGCTTCTATCCAGAAGTTTTGCTGTCCCTTGTATCCAAAATGCTTTTTTCTACATGAAAGCCAATGATATTATAGTCAGTTAGTTTTGTTGTTTAACTGGGTGGCTGTGTAAATGTATAAAAGCTGATTGTTACCTGTGGGACAGTGACCATGGCACCGATGTGGGTTATATCATCAGCATCTGGTGTTGGAAGAAGCTCGAATGGGTTTTCATATGTTTTTTTGGTTATTGCCTTTGTGATCACCTGATTATTTTCAGCTGCCCTGTTGTTGTAGTTTATGTGTTGCTATCAGTATGATGATTTGTAGTTGAAATGTATTTTGTCAGTTTATTGTATACTTACCATTGCTTGAGAGCTGGAGCTTCTTGTACTGGTGGGTTGATGAGGATGCAGGAAGCAAATTTTGTCGAAAGAGTCAAAGCTGCAATTATGTTTCTTAATTTGGTTTAAGATATGTTAATGTAATATTTGATTATTTGAAGTAAGGTGTCAAATGGTCTTACTCCCGTATGATGTAGCCTTAACTCTAAGAGCTGCTATCAATGGTTGAGTGTGGATTGTTTCAGCAATTATTTGTCCTTCATCAGTTGCATGCTCTCCCCACAGTGTAAGGATAATTGCCATTGAACTGGTAAAAGTAAAATATTTGTTAGTAGTTGGAATGGTGTTATTAATAGAGTAAAAGTAGTTATTGTATTGTACCTTTGGTCTAAGAGCACTATGTCACGAATTGGAGTTGTTCCTTTGGTTGATTGTGGATTGACGTGCACAACAACACAATGATATCTGCATTTGATTTTATGAGATGTTATTGATGCTATGAAATTAGTATTTGGAAAATAGGAAATGTTACCTATGTCAGAATTAGTGTCAATTTGATGACAGAGCTTTTTGAATGGAGTGAATTGGTAGAGTGGTGGAAGAAGTGGTGGCTGTTGTTCATCCACTCAACAACGGTAGAGTTGTCGATGACCATAGTGCATGTTTTTCGCTCAACTGGTGGGTCATCATCTGCGTACTGAAGCCTTGCATTTGATACAACAAAGCGCCTGTAAATCTGAAAGTGGTTTCTGAAGAAGTCTATATCTGATCCGTAGATGAGGGCATCAATTTTATTTGCCTAATGAATGTAGTGATAGAAGCATTAGATATATAATGGTGAGAAGTTTAGTATTAAATGTGTAGTTGTTAGTTGAGTGTACCTTTTCATCAACCAGAAGTAATTTCAGATATCTTTTTCCCTTTCTTGATATTTGAGGTTTTTGCTTGTCGATGACTTGGACGGTAGCTGCCCAATTCTTAATTCCAGGGAGGAGCTGTTCGAAGGTTATGAAGTTCATTGCTTAGAGTTGCTGGATAGCTGCAATATCAAGAGAAAAATTGGTGAATATGAGAATGTGATGAGGTGAAATTATAATTGTATGCTGTGCAATATGTATCATGAGTGAAGTAAGATTAAAAAGCATATAACAGGTATAATGAGCTGAATGTTAAAGCTGGCTAAAAATGCAGTGCAAAAACTGTTGCTATGAAAGTATTGATGAAATATTAGGGATGTGCTAGTTGTAAAATCTCAGTATAAACTATATTAGGGGTAGTATCATCTGATGTTAGATCGGAAAGGGAAGGCTTGATCAAGATTTTCACTGAATTGCTGTTTTTAGCTCGAGACAGAGCCACATAGAGTTGCCGTGAGAGAATACTGGCTCACGTAGGTAAATGCCAACATAATCTAAAGTCTGACCCTGAGCTTTATTTATTGTCATAGCGAAGCATAAACGAACTGGAAACTGCATCCTTTCAAAAGGTATTGGACAGTCTGGGTCACTGTCTGATTTGAAGCATATTCTGTGTAAGAAAACCTCTTTTCCTGCGAATTCACCACAGCTGATGACCGCCTCTATTATGTTTTGTCGCAGAGATTTACAAATGAGCCTTGTGCCGTTGCAGAGCCCTTCTGGAGGATCTATGTTTCTAAGTAACATGATCGGAGCATTTGGTTTCAGGAGTATTTTGTGTGGAGGGAAACCATTTGGTGTAAGGCTATTGACAAAGTCTTCTAAGATAGCCTACTGGGAAGTATCTGTTATTTTGTCGCGGCTGATGTATTCAGAAGTGTTGCCTGAAAATTCTTCTATCAATGTATTGTTGATGTCGTCAACGAACTCGTTTTTAGTTGTGAGAATAGCTCTGTTTGTCCATGAAAGATCTTCTTGTGAGCAACTCTTCAAATCTGGAAATACTGCATGAATTAGTTCATTGAGTGATTGCTCTTCAGTATTGTATGGTATGACTAAGTGTTTGGGAATCTGAACATTATTGTTGCAGACGAAAGATTCTGTTCCATCTCCTATACGAAGAAGATAATCAGTAAAATGTGGATCAGCAAGAGCTCTCATGTTTTGTTTAAGTTTAAGTTTTTGTAATTGAGGCCAGATATAGGAATTTATAAGACTTGCTTGCATGAAATCAGCTTTTGATCCTTTTGTTACGACTGGAAGTACCTGACGAAAATCACCACCGAAAACTATCACTTTGTCTCCAAAAAGATCATCTGTGTCTATCAAGTCTCTTAATAGTTTGTCTACACCTTCGATTCCTGTTTTGTGCATCATTGGAGCTTCGTCCCAGATTATGAGATTCGCTTGTCGAAGTAATCCTGCTAATGCACTTTGTTTGCTAATAATGCACATGTTGTTTATATCCATATTGATTGGTATTTTGAAGCGTGAATGTGCTGTTCGCCCTCCAGGAAGTATTGATGCTGCAACTCCACTTGATGCTGTAGCCAATGCTATGAAGCCTTTTGATCTAATATCAGCTAATAAAGCTTTGTATAAAAATGTCTTGCCAGTCCCTCCTGATCCGTCCAAGAAGAAAGATCCTTTGCAGTTGTTGTATACATGTGCTGTAATTGTGTCAAATGCGAGTTTCTGCTCAATATTCAATCGGGTAATGGAAGCTATATCTTCATCTGATACTGTAATCTGAGCTTCACTTATAGTATCTCTAGTTTCTCTGTCTGCTTGGTCAAATTTGAGAATTCGTGGAACTAAGTCGTAGCTATTGATGTTCTTACCCATTGATTGTAAGAATTTACTTATTTCATGGAGCACATGTAGTCGTATCTGATCAGGATGTGTATGAGTCTGCTGATAAAAATCTTCAGATAAGGATGATTCGAAATTTTGCCAAAGCTGTCTAGGATTTGCTGGTGGAAAGTGTACCAATAACGTAGCAAAAAGTCTTCTGAAAGTGTGAGGCATATGATATAATGCTGCTTCTTGGAGACATTGTTCCTGTGCATTATTTGATTCAAAATATCCCCTTAGTATTGCTGCTTCTTGAAAGCTTGCTGCATATTGACCATCTATAATCTTGAGATGATCAAATGAAGTTGGTCCCTTGACATTAACTAAAAGTAGGCGTAGGAAGTAACGGTCTCCTTCGCTTGGATTTGCTGCAACAATTCTTCCAATAGAGTCTTTTTGTTTCCTCGCTGACCAGTACTTCTTATCTGGATGCCAAACGAAATGTTCAGGGAACTCCTTGTATGTGCATTTTAAGGCTTTTGCTAGATCGTCGGTTGCATTCATATAGAAAAACTCTGTCAACATAGTCTTTTTCTTGAATGGATTTTTCAATACATCTCTGATATCCTCATCATCCTTGAAACTCATTGGTTGATAGTTTGGTAAGTGTAGCTGCAAATTCATGACTGAAGGATGCATTTCGTTAAGAGAAAATCTGTATATTCGCCACATAGCTTCAATACCGGATACCCATCTTGCTGTTTGATATTCTTTAATTTCATCAATGTACTGCTCCGTAGTATCTGAATTCAGTCGAAAATGTATTTTGTCATGTCCTTTGAAAATGTACTTGAACATGTACTTGACAACTTTGATGGTAGAACAGATTTCAACGTTGATGTGGCAATTGAACTTTGCTAATAAATATGGATTATACGGCACCACCCATCTGTTATCCAGTTGTAGGCCTCGAACATGAACTGCTTTTCCATCATTTCTTCGTCGATATATTGGATAAGCATTCTGTCCATGAGTTGTAGCAGGCGCCCACTGCTTTGGATACTTGTTCTTACAGAATCTCACTCTTTTACCTTGCATGCAGACATTATTAGGATTTTTGCTGCCACAAGGCCCATGCATCATATGCTTGCGGACCATTTTAAACAAATGGTTCTGTGTACTTTCATCTGGCAGTTCAGCAGAAACAATTTGATCATAAAGAATCAGGTGAATATAGCTTTGAATTTGGTTTCAAAATGATAAGGAAGTGAGCGTGTGGTAAGCCTCGTTTCTGGAACTCAATGACATAAGTGTATGCTGCAACCTGACCAAAAATTTCTTTCTTCAATAACTCTTCCTTTAGAATTTCCAATTTAGCACGAAAAACTCGAGCACACAAGTCAATTCTATTCTGTGCTTCATCCGTAGGCAGCATGTTTTCTTTAATTTCTGGCCATGAAGGATTGCATGTCATTGTAAGGAATAAATCTGGTCTTCCAAATTTCTGGACTAAGGCCATAGCATCCATATATCTCTTTTTCATGTCTCGGGGTCCTCCTATAAATGAAGCAGGTAACAGTATACGTTGGCCTATTTTGCAGCCTTCAGATTGTCCATGAACGACAGAATCCATCAAGCCTTGGAGTTGTTCTCTTCGAATCAGTAGTTGTTTGCTCCTGTAGAAATCAAGTCGCTGAGTTTCAAGCTTCACATACATATCTACAGCAAATTGTTGCAGCAGACGGCCTGTATTGAGAATATTCGGAGTGAATTCTTTTCTTATCTGAAATTTGTAGGCGTAATATTCCCGCATAGAAATGAACTCTTTTGAGTTTTCATATTGTTGGGAAGCTGTGGAGGATGATTTAAAGCATGAGTCACAAATATACAAGAAGCATTTAAATGAAATTTGTATGCTGATAATACATTTTTGCAAAAAAGTTGACTAAAATGCACCTTGTTGCTCTGAGCTAAAAAGCTCTTCAGGTGATCTGAAACTGCTTAATGTTGCTATGGATTTTTTGTGCCTTTCTGCTCTTTTACGTTTCTTTGGATTTATATTTCCTGATCTTTGAATTCCTGGGCCAGCCTGTTTCTCCAAGAGGATATAGCAGGGGATACTGCAGGGGATCGTAACATCCGTAGTAGTATTGCACTCGATGACTCTGGCCTTCTTTTGTATATACTTGTATATGTCTGGTGTAAGCTTCAGTTGGATTTTCCCCTTCAATCCATAGAGCTGCAACTTGGGATACAGTAGGCTTGTTATGAGTTCTTTGATCAGCAGTAGAATGTGATCTGAGAATAATCTGGTATGATTCCAAATCTGGAACATTGCGCAAACTTCGAAAAAAACAGGCATAAGGATTTTGCTTCATCACATCCATGAGCTTGGAAACTATATTTATTGTGACTCTTTCCGAAAATGCTAGCCTATTCTGTAATTCATGATCTGTATCATGAAAATAAAGTTGCAGGTACATGCCAGATCCTCCGTGGGAATCAGTTCATTGATGAAGTGATACGTTTGTCCTTGAATTTTGAATGTATAGATGCCATTACTTCTTTTGCATAAGGCCTTGTCATAGTGAACTCCAAAAGATGTGAAAGCGAACATATTATTATATGTCCGAATATATGTACGAAAAGATATTGCATCCTCTGTGTGTCCTGTGTAAAGCTCAATTAAAATGTCTGGCAATTTGTTTTCATAGAGGACAACCTCACCATCAGAACAGTAAAAATTTGGTGTTTCAGAAGAGAATCTTTTGGCACCGCAATATTTGCAATCAGGAACCTGAGGTAATTGATCTGATTTGTTACTGATTGATTTGAGTGCCTCCGTCCTCTTAGATGTTTCAGCTGATAGGGAATAATGAATCAAAAGAATAAAGGTAATTAAAGCTATATATTGAGTTGAAGAACAAGCTATAAAGAATACAGAACACTTAGGATTGATGGACTTGTATTAACATACGTACCTCTTTTAGGCATGAGCCTCTTTTTGCGACAACTTGTAGATGTTTGCTGCTTAGTGGATGCAACTGTGTGTGGAATTGTGTCATTTAAAGAGAAGTTATTAATATGGAAGTATTTCAATTCTAAGAAGTGTAAGATTAGCTAAAAGAGATTTCTTCAGGCAAGAAAGGCAATGTAAGGGAACTTATATTAATAGCATGATAAACCTTTAATGGAAACATTAGTATCACTAATAGTTGGCTGTATGGTCTTGTCAGCAGAATCCAGCAAAGCAATGGCTACACAAATACAAAAACATGCTTGTAAGACGTTCTGTTAAGACAACTGATAGAGTAACAGTAGCTGATATCATAAAGAACAAAACTGTTGCTGGCAAACCTGGTGTATTTGCTATCGCATCAGAAATATAGCTATAACAGTTGGTGCAAAATCGAGATTGGCCTGGTATATAAAAGTGATTAGCAACTAATTATAATGATAAGATAGAAAAAATGTTGTATAATTATCTAAATGAACCTTGATTTTGTTCTATATTGGATTCCAAGGATTGATGCAGACATTGCAATATAGGCTGTTGAGCAGTAGTTGCAGTAGCTATAAATTCATAGTAATAAGTATATAATCAGTAATGATATTATATAATGGATGATAAGATTATTATTAAATACGTAACTTTTGCTGTAAGTTAAGCATAGGAAATGTAAAATTCAAGATGAAATAAGTAAATAACTGAATCAATTAACCTTGATTTTCTGTAAAATTAAGTCGAGCTTTCTCCAAGGCCTCATTAGATTGTAATTTAGACTGTAGAGGTTCCTGCGAAGTTTGGTTATGATGCAGTTGTTATGTAGCTGAAAAAAGAGAAACATTTGAGATAGTAGCAAAAGATAAAGCAGGAGTGCAATAGAATACGAATGGAGTTTCATGAGATGTATATTGGTACATTTGTCAGTGAATGGAAGTAGCTGAGCGTTAATTTGTTGATGAAGATTGCTTGTAATTGATGTATTCGCAGCGTTACTGAATTCTTGAGAACATTGGGTAGTTTCCTTAACCACTGTTATTAATCGAAAAATAATAACATTGAATAATTAGCATTCATAAAAATACGATTAATATATTAATATACTAAGGTTTAATAAATGAGCTGAGGAAGCAGCCTACTGACCTGCATGAAGAGGAAGTTGGAGCTCCTGGGATAGCTGCACGGTAACTGCAGTGCTGGATTCTTTTTCATCAGACAAATCAGTGGAAATTTTTTTGGCTTTCCTCTTTTGATAGGCCTCTCTTTGTTTTAAACGGCACAATTCTTTCTCCTCAGGCGATAACGCAGCATATTTCTCCCTTAATTTCTGATTGCGTTTAGCCTTTTGCCTAATTATCTTATCATTATCACTATAACTACTCATCCTATTCCTTATGTCAATACGCAGTTGCTTTATACAGATATTAAGCTAGCTGAATACACTTGGTTTATAAGGAAGTTAAAAAAACCTACGTAAACACATAAAAAAAACATGGTGCAGATGAAAGTGGCAGAAATTGGAGTGAAATTGCAGAAAGTGCAGATGAAAGTGCAGAAGAAATTGGAGTGAAAATAACCAGAGACGGGAAAGAGATTGTTACCAAACAAAAATCCCCAAAAGTACTGGATAGCCGACGGAGAAAAAGGAAACAACGTGAAAAATACATGCACGCAAAAAATAAACAGACGACGAACAGAAACATGCATCAGAAAAACATACAAATAAACCGGCAAACAGGCGATAAGCATATAAAATGAGGAAATAAAATATATATAAATAAATATAAAATATAAAACAGAAGGAAGTAAAAGGATGAATACCAGCAGCGGGAATGCAAAACAGAAGAAAGCAAATTGACGAAGATGAGTATAAGCGCATGAGTATAATCTGTATCGTATTGTGCTTATATTAATAATATTAATAATATGGCTTTGGAAACAGCACATACATGGAAGTGGCACATAAAATTGACTTTCCAATTGTGACCTTAAGCTAAAGTCTTATAATCCACAAGAAAGGCATCTTGAAGGAGAAAAGTGTAAATTAGATACTGAATTTACTGTTTCTTGATTGAACCCAACTATCTTATCAAATCAAAGGAATTGACAAAAAATCTCCACGTCTGATATATTGACAAAAAATTGTTCACCGTAAGACGAAGAGAAAATATATTGTATTGTAAGCAGATGAGAATGAGAGTCTTAAGCCTTGGAAGAGCAGATGAAAGTGCGGTTGAACAGTAAGCCAAAGTACCTCCTATATATTGTAAGGATAGATATAAATAAGATTTCATGTTCTCTAAATAGTTATTAACAGTTAGAAATATGTCTGGAATTGTATCTCTTCAAATGATAGTTGAAATCTGAAAAGTTGCGAATGAAATGCAGAAAGCACTTTTAAAATCCTGCTCAGATTTTTACTATTTGAAAATATTCCAACAAAAGGTACGTATAAAGTGGGGAAGGTTTGATTTCATTTTATCAGAGACTCCAAATCGTATAAGATTAAGAAAGAAGTTCTGAAAATCGAATCAAGTAGCATAGCCCTCGCTAATGTTTGGACTGGATCTAATGTCGGCTACTTTTAATGTTCCTGTACCTGGAGCTAATCGTTAGATAGCCCGGAAGAACCACTTGCTTCAACTGTGCCAAATCAGTGGGTTTGTTTGGATTGTAAATTATTAGAGATATTTTTACTGTAGCACTTTTTTGTGAAGTGATATATGTGAGATAAAAAGGTAATTGGAAAGATAAAAAGGTGTGTTGAAAATTATAATGATGATGTAAACAAATATATTTTGACAAATAAACAGCAATCCAAACAAACCATGCTATCAAAGCCCAACTTCTAAAACAAATTAAAACTGGTCATTTCGTTTATTCTCCTTTTGTTCCTTTTTTTGACACGAAGAAATTTTTGTTTTTCTCTAGGAGAATAATTAAACATCAATTTGCTTTTAATAGGCATCTTATCTACCAAGACAATACGCCAATGTTTTGACAAAAAAAAAAAAAGAATAATATCAGAAACCTCCTTTTAGGTTTCTCCTAATATCACTCACCGCTTCTGAAGTTTGTGAAATATCACTTATCTCCCCTAATAATAGTAAAACAATTATATTAACCCTCATTTGACACATAATTCACACACCAAATAAATGAAGATTAAAATTTTTTTAAAAAAGAAACGAAAGTCACTTTCTTCTGTTTTTTCTTTTGTTCATCATTCTTTCTTACTCATTTTTTAAATGACTATACAATATTTTATTCATAAATTATAATAAATTAAAATTTTTTATCTTTTATTTTTTGAGATTGTGATAAAATAAGGTATGATTTATTTGCTTATTCTGAGTTGATTTTTATAATGATTTGTACAAAATAATAGTTTGGATAAAAGTTGAAAAGATGTTAAAAAATATATAAAAAGTTCATAAGAAATCGATTTTGAGTATAAAGAATTAAATTGGTGCAAGTATATTTCTTTTAAATATTTTTTTATTTTTTAAATTTATATTTTATGAGGTATAGCAAAAATACCAAAAATAAAAAATATTTTTATGGCGTAATAAATATTTTTATTACATAAATAACAACAATAAGGGAGGTAAGTAGTATTTTTAAAATTTGAGGGGTGTTAGGTGATATTAAGAGAAATCTTAGGGGAGGTTTCTGATATTATCCCCACAAAAAGACTATAGGCCAATGTCGTAGTTGGCAGTTGGCACCCAAAAATCTGAGAGTGCGTCTCGTCCAGCCACATAGGTCGGCTCAAATATTGTCCCTCGAAGCTTTAACCGTCAATAACGGTTTCTTCAGAAGCTGAGGAAAAATCCAAGAATGCGCAGAAAGGTGAATTCCCAATTTCCCACTTCTCTTGCTCGATCATAAATTACACCCAATCGAAGATGTCTTCGAAGGCGGTGGTTTCCTCCCTTTTGGCCACCGCCCTCGTCCTGCTCATTGTGTTGTCCAAAAATTCAAAACCCGACGACCATCGCAAACATGATGCCTTAAGTAGGCGTTTGGGTTCTCCCATATTTGACCCCATTGTCGCGAAAGCCCATAGAAAAGCTGAGGAGAATACGTCAAGAGACACAAAAGCAGCAGCTGCAGCGGCAGCGTCATCCAGCTATATTAATGCAGCTAAAGAAGATATGAAATATTATGACGAAGAGACGGGACATTAAACTTGAGGCTAAGGTTGATGGTCCTGTTTCCTGTTTTGGACGTGGCTCCCCAGGATGGGATGGTTGATTCCAAGGAGCTGGAGGCTTGGCTTACCCAGCAAGCTGTTGATAGGTTGGATTACAGAACAAGGAGAGAATTGGAGTTGCGCGATAAAGATGGGGATGCATCAATTTCTTTCTAGCGAGTACCTCCCTCAGTTCACCAAGGAAGACATTGTAACTCATCATTTGATTCTTGAATCTCGTGTAACATTGGTTGTGCAACATTTGGCTGTCTACGAAATGGTGGGAAACGAAGAAAAATATTTCCATGGCTGAGCCCTCCCAATTTTTAGCTTTCTTGTTTTTTAAGATAAAACGTCTATTGCTTACTATGAGATCAATAATTTGATTAAACGATGAAAACATCTTGACTTCCCCATTTCGTGGCCAACCAAATGGAGCGTATGGATGCTTTTATGGGCAGAGCTCTAACGAAAAGAGAGAATCTACTGGAACAGAGAGAAACGATACGAGATATGGGGAAGCTGGATGGTGATGGAACAATTTAACGATTCTGATGTTGATAGGAATGGGAATCTCAATTTATATGAATTCAGGGAGTACGTGATCTGTCTTTCCAGTTCAATAATCAGCGACTTAGTTTTAATCAACATATCTTACTGATGATGTACGAAATTTTGAATTTTTCAGTTTTCTGCATCAGAAGACAGCAGGAATGAACGTATTCAAAGGCGATTGTTGAGAGAGAAGCTAAGGTTGGTTCTATTCTAAATTGCTGCCAATGTTTACACCTCTTCTTCTTCACACGTATTTTGCAATATACAATGCCATATCCTTGTCCTATCTTTTAAATGTTCAGGCAGATGGATAAAGACAATGACAAAGGTTGAGTTTGCTGGAATTTGAGGTGGGGGCATACAATGACTACAAGTTTTACCTCGACTACGAATCAGGAAGGCGCGGCAAATATATCCTCAGCAGCAGCTGTATTTGACAAACTTGATGTTGATCACGACAAGTAACTTTTGCTTTTTCTGTGAAAAATATATCCCGGATGTGGTAATTAAAACCACATGTGATATGGCTAAAGTTTCAAGTATATTTAATCCTTTAATTTGGTGTCGACAACTGGTGACAGATTGTTTGAGAGTGGAAGAATTGAAGCCTTTATTCAAGTATCTGAAACCAGGAGAATTGGTATATGCTAAATACTACACCAATTATTTGATTGAGGAGGCAAGTTTCTGTATTGCTATGTGCTAAACACTCTCAAGCAAACTGTGTAAAACAGTCTGCCTTTAATTTCTTCCATTTGATTTTTTCTTTCTTTTTTTCTGGCTAAAAAGCGCATGTATCTACCGTTTCAGTGTTTACACCAATGGCTAGAGTAATTATAACACAGGTTATTGCTTTGTTTGTCATGATATTGAAAAAAGGCTGACGAGAATAGAGACGGAAAATTGACGCTGGATGAGATGCTGAATCACGAACACATTTTCTACAACACGGTTTATGACAATGGGAAGCATGAGAATGAATATTACAGTTATCATGACGAACTCTGATGCAGTAGCGCCTGTGCCTGCGCTAACTCACCAACTTCCCTTGGTTCTCGAAGATGGAGACAAGAGAGGTGTGAAAGCTGCTGCTTGGCAAACAACTTTTTTCCTAACAAAATCCTTTGCAGCAATTGAATACGTGCTCTGTATAAAGGGGCAGCGTTGCAGCGGAGAGAAGAAGAGTCCCAAGAATTCACGAGTTCAAGGTGCTAAGAGACAAATCAAGGAGAGCTGCCTTGACAGAACACTTGCCGGTAAACATTTAGGTAGATTGTTGTCGGGAGAGAGCCATATTAGCCAATTGCTAAGACACTCATCTCTGAGGTTACTATTTTTGTTTGTTTGTTTCCTCTCTTTATCTCTAAATTGAAGATACATCCATCCCTACATTATAGACACTCACAGGGTGCAAAATAGCAAGTTAAACTTTAAGTCTGTGCTCGTGGCTTTCAAGATGAGAATGTCTTTGTTTATGAATGGGTTTGTGTGGCCCGCATTGTTTTTTTTTTCTTTGGTGTTTTTCATTTTTTTATTTTATTTTGCACAAGGGCAGGGGCAATTTCATTTTAGGTAGAGAACTAAATCCTGATTCAAAACAGTTGGATCCTCTATGTCACTATTCGATATCAAATTAGTGTCAGTCCTACGTATCGCGTGAGGATACAAGAAAAGTAAATAAACAGTATATAACAACTTAAATAAATAAAATACTTAGTATAAATATAGAAATTGACATTGAAAAAGTAGCACTCAGGATTTCACGTGGATTCAAGATGTTTTAGTTCCTACCTTTTAAGAAACCATGCTTAAAGCAACGGTTTTGGACATGGCCAAGTTGGCTAGCTGAACGGGGCTGATCCACATGGAAATGGGGCAGGAACGGTTGTCAGATTTGGCGGTTGATGGCCATGATTTGGCCAAAAAATTTTGTGCGGCTCAGATCACATCTTGTAACTCGATTTTTACGCTGTATGTGGAACCCACAAAAATTTGTTCTAAAATTACGTCGTGTGCAAAGAAAATTACATTGTGTGCAATTAAAATTACGCACAATGAAAAATGCACACAACCGGCTTCCATTGTATGCGAGAGATTCATGTGGTATTTCAATCATTCAATCAAGGGCTGCAAACGAGCAGAGCCGAGTCGAGTTTTGGCCTTATCAAGTCGAGTCTTGACTTAATTTTATCGAACTTGAACTCGAACTCGAGCTCGACGAGTTGGTAATTTTCAAGCTCGAACTCGAGCTCGACTCGATTCGAATCGAGCTCGAGTTCGAGGTCGAAAAAAATAAAAAATAAATATTTTATTTTTAAAAAATAAATAAAATAATATTTTTTATTAATAAATAATAAAATATTAAGAATATTTATGTAATTTTACTATTAAAAATAAAAATAAAAAAAAATAAATATATATATACCCGAGCTCGCGAACGAGCTTAATGTTTTGAGTTCGAGTTCGATATTGATCGCGACTCGATTCGTTTGCACCCCTAATTCAATGTGAGGAAACCCACGAGGAAAAAACATAAAAATCAAAGAAGTGTTGAGCTTTTCAATCAAGAATAATAGGCGTAGTTAATTTTGATTGGAAGGATAGAACGGAGAAAAATTGCCTGCTTTATCCCATTTTTTGCGTGACTGGGTGGTAAGTGATAGTAATTTGGAAGTGAATGGATTGTCTCATAACCTGAGTCAACCTAACTAATGCACTATTCACTTAAGCTCGTCAAACTCTTAAAACTCATCCTTCTCGTATCAGCTGGCGGTTGAGCTCTCTATCTAGTTTTAGCTTACTCAAGTTCAACTGCTCTTAACTCATTTGAGCTCACTTGTGTTTAAATAATATACACTAGTAATTTGCCCTTGCATTAGCATAGAATAATTTTTTATTGTAATTATTTACGAATGAATGCAAGGCTTAAATAATTCATTAACAATGTTTTTATAAATTCATATTTATATCAAAAAATTATTATACTCCAAATATTCAACTACCATATTAGTCTTTAGAAATTGTTAGATGCAGGGACGGAGCCAGAAATTTATTTTGGGGGGGCTGAAGTGTATTAAAAAATTTTTTTGTGATGAAATAAATATATTTAATAAGTAAAATTTAGAATCAATAATTATAAAAATAATAAAAACATATAATTATACATACCCAAAAATTTGTTATTGATTAACACTTGAAGTATTGGTAGTTGTTGCACTCGAATAACGAAGAGGAGGCAATTGCATTCTGCGAGTCTTCATCAGTTGAAAACGCTGCAATATTTGCTCATTTTCAATTGTTGCAAAAATATCCTTCTCGATGTATACAACCAAACAGTCATTCATCCACTCGTCTCCCATTTTGTTGCGCAAATCAGTCTTGACAATATTCATTGCAGAAAATACTCTTTCAACAGAAGCAGTCGCAACTGGTAGAACTAATGCCAACTGGATCAGACGATAAACCAATGGAAAAATTGTATTTTTACCAGTTTTAACCATTTGTTGAGCAAGACTTCCCAAATCTCCAACTTCTGAAAATTGAGGATCGCGTTGCACATTATAAATATAATTTCGAAGTTGAGACTCAAGATATACATAATCGTTACTTGAGAAGTCTTCAGGATATAAATCAGCAAGACGGAGTAGTTTCTGCACATTGAATTGAGAGAAAGAACTTTTTGGATCAAGACATGCTATGCAACTAAGCAATTCCATGCTAACTTCCGAGAAACGATTATTCATCTCTTGTATAATTAAATCAACAACCTGACATCACAACAATAATAAAATTAATAACTAAGAAAATCTGCTAACAAGTAACAAATGTAATGAAATAATAATTTCAAAAATAATACCTCACAAAAATTTCCACGCGATAATGATGAAAATTAGTGATGGTTTGACCTTTGCGACTGCGCCTGGCATTGCCACGGATTGCTATACTGTCTTCCATATCAATCACGGGAATCATATTCAACTCACAAAAATTGTTGACTTCATCTAAAATTATTTGCCATCCCTCTTCCCTAAAGTCTTGCAATTGAGATTTCATAGTATCAATCAAACTCATGGCTTGGACAATATTTTGATCCCTTTGTTGCAAAACAAGTGACAAGTATTTGTGATTCCCAATAAATACTTCATCAGGTGCAATACAAAAAAAACTCATAATCATTCATTCTATCAATCAAACCCCTGGCCATACCTCTATTATCAGAAGTGGTGGCATCATCTTGTATATTTCCCAATATTCCAATCACCGAAGCCCACATAGAGGATAGACAAAGTAATGTTAGATAGTGTGATCCCCAACGAGTATCCCCTGGTCTTGCTAAACTAGTTTCTTGATTTTTGCCTTTTCCACTAATAATATCTCCACTGTCTAAAAGTGTAACAATCTTATCATGTTCTATTTGTCTTAATTGATCTCTTCTTTTACATGATGCTCCAGTTAAATTGACCATCATAGAGACATAGACAAAGAATTCACTGACAATGATATTTTCCTTAGCAACAGCAACAATAACTAACTGGAGTTGGTAAGCAAAACAGTGAATATACATCGCATAGGATTTTCTTGTAATATAAGGGCCTTCAAACCATTGAACTCACCTCGCATATTTGAAGCTCCATCATATCCTTGACCTCTCAATTTGGATAATGATAATCCGTGTTGCACGAATAAAGAATCAATTGCATCTTTCAAACAAAGAGATGTGGTGTCAGACACATGTACAATTGCAAGGAAACGTTCAATCACACGCCCTTCTTTGTTCACATATCTCAAAACAACTCCCATTTGCTCTTTCACTGAACTGTCTCGAGACTCATCAACTATTAGGGAAAAATAATTGTCTCCAATATCATTGATTATAACACTTGTGATCTTTGAGGCACAAGCATGTGCCAAATCTTTTTGAATCATTGGAGAAGTTAGTTGATTATTTGCAGGAGCATTTTGATTTACAACCTCAAAAATCTCAGTATTTCGCTGGCTATACCACTCAAACAATTCAAGAAAATTGCCTCTATTTGAAGAACTAGTTGACTCATCATTTCCACGAAAAGCCAATCCTTGCTTCAAAAGAAAGCGGGTCACATCCAGAGCAGCAGTTAAACGGGTGCGATATGCAATATCTATTTCGCGCCCACAAGATCGTAGCACATTTGACACACTATGCCTTTGATCTTGAAAACTTTTAAACTGTATTCTAGCATCATTATGGCAACTATTCACAGCTCCAATATGTTCATTAAATCTTTCCATTGCCTTTTTCCAATTATTGAATCCCGTTTTTGTAAAGGCATCCTCTGCATATCGACCTCCCTTATTTTGTGTTTTGAAAAGAAAGCACCAAAAGCAAAACGCCGCATCTTTCGATATGCTATACTCTAACCATACAAACTTTTGATACCAACTATCTTGGAAACTTCTATGTTGTTTACCAAATGATGTTTTTTGGATACATATGCCAATCGGTTGGCAAGGTCCCCTAGTCAAATACTTTCTTCGGACATGGTCTCGAAGAGAAATATCAAATTTCTCAATTGATTTTCGTAATCCCGGATCACTAACAATATCATTTAAATTCAATTCCACACAAGATTGATTTTGAACTGGTTCACTAATATTAGGCTCATTTGAAGATTCACCACTACGGACTCGTTTAGGTTTAAAGAATCTCTCCATTTTCTGTCACAATTAAATAATTGTGGTTAAATTCAATAAAATTATGCAATTCAATAATCAATTAATTTAAAATTCATACAAATAATTCTTTAATTTAATAATAAATTCATATTACTTATATTTCTCAATTTATAAAATTCATTATATAAAATTATCAAAAAGTTAAAATAAGGTACAACTAAATACCCATATAATCTCTAATTCAATCTCATAAAATTTTGAATTTATATTTACATTCAAAATTTCTAATTCACATAATTAATTCTTAAAATTTCAAATATAAAACTAACAAAATTTTAAAAGCTAAATACAACCTAAAATCTATACAATTTCTAAACTAATTTCTAATTTAAATTTAATATCATTAAATTTTTTAATGTAATCTTTCAAATTCTTAAATTACATTAACATAAACTAAATAAAAATTAATCTTAATCAAATTAATATCAAGATACTCAAAATTCAAAAATAATTTAAACATATAATTAACAAAAATATAAAGATGAATATTGTAATTTAAACAAAAAAACTAACCTAAAAGATTTATGTGAATGGAATGGTGGAGAGTTGGAGTCTTGGAGCCTTGAATTGAAGGCTTGAAGCAGGATGGTAGAATCTCAACTGAAGCTTCTTGGAGTTCTTGGAGCCTGGCGTCTTCTTCTTGGAGTTGGAGTCTTGTTTGCCCTTTGGCACTGGCGGCGTGCTTTTGCATCAGATGAAGCCTTAGGGCTTCATCTGATGTATTTTTTTCCCCTCATTATACAAAACGACGTCGTTCCACTAAAAGTGAAACGACGTCGTTTTGTATTTAGAGGGCAAAAAAAAAATTCAAAATGAAATGAGTCATCTTCTTCCTCAGCAGTCAGCACGGCAGCGGCTTTCCAGCTCTTCTTCACTTCCTCTGCAGCATCCATGGAGCCATGGAGGATGGTAGTCGGTAGATCTGGATCACCGTGAGGGGGCTGGGCTGGGCTGGCCGCCGGAATCCCCTATATATAGGGGGTTTTCCGGCGGCTTGGGGGGCTTAAGCCCCCACCAGCCCCCCTTAAATCCGTGGCTGGTTAGATGTAAATTTTTTATAATGTGATAATATTCATTCAATATTATAAAAAACAACTATTCTTTGAGATAGTAATTAAAATTCATTATAAATATGATTATACACCCACTCATATTCATTTTTAGTTCAAGGCAACGGGTCCATATGAGGTTATGGTACTTTTGGTTAAAAGCAAAAGCTTTTATTGGTGCTAAAAGTTTTTATCACTTTTGGGTACAAAAAATATTTTGGTAGTGTTTGATGGATATCATCCTATAAAATTAGAAGTGAAACTTTTAGTGTTAAAAGTATATTTTAGCAAAAGTTCAAATTTGATGCTTTTAAAATAAAATTTATATTTAAAAATATATTAAATTTAATCATTTAATCATATTTTATGAACTAAATAAAGGGATGAATTCATTTAAAATTCTTAGAAATTTGAGGCATTGAACATGAATTTTCCTATTTATTTTACACATTTGAATTTGGTGGAAACCACAACCATTGTGGTGTGAAGTCTATCTCTTCTTTGAAGATGGCATTTGGTTCCGTTTGGAATTGTGGTAATTTATTGAAAAGTATTTCATCGATAGAACTTTTGGTAAAAGTACTTATTAAGTGTTTAAATTTTTTTAAATATATTGTTTGGATACATAATTCAATAAGTACTTATTGTATTGAATAATATGTAATTTTAAAAATTTAAAATGTATTTATCCATTTATTTAGTTCATAATGCAAGACAAAATGATTAAATTTAATGTTTTATTTTTTAAACAACAAAATTTACTCTAAAAGTATCAAATTTGAGCTTTTGTTAAAAGTGTTTTTTAACACCAAAAACTCACTTCTTGATTTTATGGAATCACATTCACCAAATACCTCAAAAATACTTTAACACCCAAAATTACCTTTTTTTTAAATCAAAAGTTAAATCAAAAGTACCCTAGGCCCAAAATGGGGGCTTAACATGTTGTCAAAGCTAGATTAACATGATGTCCAATATCAAAAATTCTATCTTACACATGATAACTCAAGGTCTTCAAAATCACAACTAGCAAATAGAATCCATAAATGACAAATGGAATCCACAACCAGTCTATTATGCGTGTAATGGCCATGATACATATCATTACTATTACACTTTCACTATACTCCCACTCTGGTTATGGGACCGAGTATAATGGATGGGTGTGTCTATCACATTCAATTATGGAAAAAAGAGTCCCAATGCCTCTCCAATTCTTTTTCAGGTAAAGTTTTGGCCATCCAACAATTAAATATAAAAGTTTGGCCCTTGATCTAACAAAATAGCATATTAGTGGCATTTCTGTCAAATCTAGCAGTTAACTATGACGGAAAGTATCATCTCGTGAGACGTGCAACCAAATATGAAGGGCATTATAGTCTGTTTGTTAAGACAGTAAAAACAGTTTTTCCAATAATTTTCTCTCCAACAATTTTCACCCTTTTTGCTGTAAAACCCTAGTGCGAATCATCTGATTTGTCAATATCTAAAATGTAAAAACTTCTCTTCACAACAAAATGCTAAGCATTTCATTAGACAAGTGAGACTCCCTTATTCATTCCCAGGCTCTCCAGGGACTGGTTCATGATTTGCTTCTCTTGTTCACTTCGAGTGTTTTCGGGGTGGTCACTGTTTTCAATTGCCTCTTCCTCCTTGTTATTGTGGCATAAGTTGCTTTCCTCCTTCATTAATCCGTAGCTAATAGACAAATCTTTCCACTTTTTTTCTCCAGATAAGTACTCGTGTCGCCCCAAATATTTCTTCAGCTCAACTTTAGTATTTCGAAATGGCTAAGGACAAATATTTAAAAACAGCCACTTCAGTACGATTTTATTCCACTACGCACAATCTAGGAGACAATTGCAATTCAATTTTCAATTATCATTTTTCCTCTTCTTGTTTAGTATTACTTTTGAGAATTGAGACAACAGACCAAAATCTTTGTAGCAACAATTGATGAAAGGTCTAAAAGTACCTTTGCTAATTAAAAAAAAAAAGACTGAAAAGGAAATAATACCTCTGCTTTGCATTCAGTAGCCAATCGAAAGAAAGCAGCAGAAACAAAATGCTTCCCAACGGACTCAGCTAATCTGATATGACTGAGCCAATACAACTTTTTGTTAGATGGAGATTTTTGTTGCTCTAACTTAAGGTAAGAGAAGAAGCTACCTTTTTACTCTCTTTTTGCTTGGTAAACCATCCTTTAGAGACTATAATACCCTTCATATGTGGTCACGCGTCTGACAAGATGATGCTTCCCGTTATAGTTAACTGCTGGATTTGACAGAAGGACCACTAATATGCTATTTTGTTAGATCGAGGGTCAAACCTTAATATTTAATTGTTGGAGGACCAAAACTTTACCTGAAAAAGAGTTGGAAGGCCATTCGGGACTTTTTTTTCCCTTCAATTATGGATGCCCTAAGTTACTCAAACAACATTTGCATTTACCGAAAGGGTTATGAATAGGGATTTCACGTCAAATCCACCTACGCACCTTTAATTAATCCAAATGGACTGCTTCGGATTTTTCTATTATTGATATAATTAAATGTTGTATCAAATAATGTGTGAGTTGAACTTTTGTAGGCTATATGTTAATTGTTAATTATAACCATTTAAATAACGCATTTTTACTACTAAAAAGTGGTAGTTGTCTCACGTGAAAATGCCTGTAGTACTTCTCGCTGAAATAAACGGTAACCGAAGGTTCTAGAATTGTTTGCATTGGGACGCTTGCAGCACCTTCTTTGTCAGGAACGGGCAATGCGGGGATACGGGAGGGAAAAAATAGAAAAACTCGAACAGGGAAAAAACACAAAAAGTTCCAAGCAGTTGAGTTTGTATTGTAGGTCGGGCAGAGCCGGGAGGCGATGGTAGGAGTGCGTGATTTTTAAAACAAAGCGCACCGTGGAGTGGAGGACGGACGCAGGACACCAACAAGCCAACGATCCCACGTTTCAAATTCGCGGACATTTTAAGGAAATAATTACGCCCCCAGATATTAAATTAAAAACATTTGCATAATCCAACTTCAGCTTTACCTCCGCGTCTCTCTCTCTCTTCTTCCTCCATTGTCTCTCTCTTAGGGTTTCATATCGATCCGAGAGTCCGATTCTCTTACTCGCACTCTATCTCTCCCATCTCGTCAACTCACGCCTTTAGGTAATATTCTCCTCGTTCTTACTGATTTCGTCATGGATTTATGTTTTTCTCTTCTCAAATTTAAACTAGCGTTTCTTGAGCCAACTCAATGCTCGATCTATCCTCTATGTTTTCTTGCCTTTTTTTTTTTCTCTTTTAAAAGTGCGTTGTAAGTTTAACTTTGTATGCTTGCTTATTGTACAATACTTGAAATCCCGATCTACGTAGTTCTTTTTTTCCTTTTTTTAATTGTCATATCTTTGCGCGCTCAAGTAACTTCCGTTTTGCGTTCAGTTAATTCATTTTCCTTAAATCAGACGAGTTTTCTTTAGATCGGTTAGCTTTTATGTTTGTTTAAATCAC